TCCTTCCTTCCTTCCTTCCTTCCTTCCTTCCTTCCTTCCTTCGTCTTGTAGCGTTTTTCCCTCTGCATGTGGCCAGTACTAAGCAAAAACTCAAAGGGACTCATGCAGATTTCCAGAGATTTTTCCTTTATAGCTTCTATCTGATCATAATTCTGCCTTTTAGCTTTCATTCACCCAACTCCGTAAATTCTGATGTTGATCTCTTCCATTTAGCAGTTATGTTTTCCCTCTGAAATTTCCATCCTGAATTTAGGATGTGCTCCAGATGGAAAACTGGGTCATTCATTAATGGGGAATTATACTTCTCTCAAAGATTACAACCTGTGCATTTCTTGTTCAGTATTTAAGACCATTCTTTATATTGTCCCAGTTTTCTAATTTATGATTGGTGCCTGAAAACTATCTTATGAATTGCTATCTGGTACTTAATTTTCCTCACTCTTCCGTATTTTTTTCTTTTTTTAAACTTTTTTAATGTTTGTTTTTGAGAGAGAGAGACAGAGTGCAAGTGGGGGAGGGGCAGAGATGGAGGGAGACACAGAATCTGAAGCAGTTCCAAGCTCCTAGCTGTCAGCATAGAGCCCGACATAGGGCTCAAACACATGGACCACAAGATCATGACCTGAGCCAAAGTCGGGTACTTAACTGAGCCACCCAGACACTCCATGTTTATTATTCTATAAGGAATATTAGAGTCAGCTTGTTTCACTTTTAAAAATCCTTTTTGTGTTTAAGTTTATCATGTGAAATGTATGGATTAATGTAGAGAGAAGTAATATATTTGGAATATTGAAACTTGATAGTAAATACAGTAGTATATACTTTTTAAATTTGTAATTTTAACCTATTTAGTATCTATCTATTCCTTTTTTATTGAGTTTTTACCAAAAGTAGATATTTAATGTTTTCTCATCCCTTTTCCATTTGTATGTAAATGGTCATAATTTTTTCCCCATATATTAGTGTGATTATGTGTATACATTTTCTAGTATAGAACCCATTTATTAATTCCTGGTGTGAAACGTGGTAAGTCATCTAGTTTGGATTTTGTATAGATTCTTGGGTTACTTTTAAAATTCAAATTCCTAGCTTTTCATTTAGAAACCATAAATATAACAGACTGAAAATCCTTGAAAAGGGAAGAATTCTCATAATGCATGATGTATATGCATCATTGTTATAAATAAGATAACTTTTAGAACTATGATATTTATTTATTTAAAATTTTTGGAGGGCGCCTGGGTGGCTCAGTTGGTTAAGCATCTGGTGTCAGCTCAGGTCAGGATCTCGTGGTTCGTGAGCTTGAACCCCACCTCGGACTCTGTGCTGACAGCCCAGAGCCTGGAACCTGCTTCACATTCTGTGATTGCCTCAGTCTCTACCCTTCCCTGCTCACACTCTTTCTCTGTCTCTCAAAAAATAAATGTTAAAAAAATTTTTTTTTTAAATTTTTTAAGTATATATACATTTATCTTGAGAGAGAGCATCAGTAGGAGAGGGGCAGAGAAAGATAGAATCCCAAGCAGGCTCCACACTGTCAGCACAGAGCGCAGTGGCGGGGAGGAGAGGGTAAACTCAAACTTACAAACCATGAGATTATGACCTGAGCTGAAATCAAGAGTTAGATGCTTTGGGCACCTGGGTGGCTCTGTCAGTTAAGTGTCTGACTTTGGCTCAGGTCATGATCTCGCAGTTTGTGGGTTTGAGCCCCATGTCGGGCTCTGTGCTCACAGCTCAGAACCTGGAGCCTGCTTCTTATTCTGTGTCTCCCTCTCTCTCTCTTCCCCTTCCCTGCTCACACTCTGTCTCTCTCAAAAGTAAACATTAAAAAAATTTTTTTTAATAAAAAAAGTTGGGTGATCAACCATCTGAGCCACCCAGGTGCCTTGATACATTTTTACGTGCTGGGATTAGGAGGCATTGTCAAAAAATCAAGTATAACTTTTGAGTCCCCTCAAATTTAACTTCTGTATTTTTTATTTATATATATCTATATATATTTTTTCCTCTCCCCCTCCCCTTCCATGAATGTATTGTATATTGTGACTGAAACGTAAGAAGTTGTCAAATGATTTCAAGCAAAGGGAAGGTAAGCGAAGCATACGGGATAGACTGGAACAGCAGGACTCTCCCCTGCTTTTGGCACTCCTCACTCCACCACCTGTGTGCATGACAGAGGCAGTGAAGGAACCAGCTCTGGAGAGATTCTTGCTGAAGTGGCAGGGCCAATTACCAGTTGTATTTGGGCAAGGATCATAGAATGAATGATACCACAACACCGGAGGGCCTGGGGGACCCCAGGACAACAGGAAGGAGCCTGCACTGAAGAGCAGACAGCAGATAGGGGTGCTTTCTGCCATAGTGAACGTTCTCTGAGGTGGTGAGCTGATCCCCCCGGGGGGTCTAGCGGCTTACTGCTTGCCAGCATTTCCTGTAAGCAGAAACTACCTTGGAGCCATGTAGGGAGTCACGTGGATAAGGAGTAGGTGTTACTCCAGGATTCAGCTTGGCTAACTGTGGGTGAGGATGAGGAGACAAATGGCACCTCATTCTGCTAGTGTACTGTATTTATTGACCAGCATCTGTGTGTAAGTAGGCCCCTGCAGTTCAAACCCGTGTTGTATGAGGATCAGCTGTATTAGTGTTCTTGTTTCAGAATAATTGGTAAGAGATCATTTTGCGCTGTTCATCTTCAATCACAGGAATATTTTTGGCAAGGAAAAATAGGATTTTTGTTAAATCTCTCAGAAAAATGTGCTTGTGTTGTATGTGTTGAACCTTAATTCTGTGGTCTAGATTTATGAGAAAATTTTGTTTTTTAATTTTTTTAATGTTTTTCATTTACTTCTGAGAGAGAGAGAGACCGTGTGAGCAGGGGAGGGTCAGAGAGAGAGGGAGACACAGAATCTGAAGCAGGCTCCAGGCTCTGAACTGTCAGCACAGGGCCCAAACATGGGGCTCGAATGCACAAACCGCGTGAGATCATGACCTGAGCTGAAGTCAGATGCTTAACTGACTGAGCCACCCGGGCGCCCCATATGAGAAAAAAGTTTTAACCATCTATCTCCGTATTAAACTGTCTCAGTTCTCACTAACTCAGTTACATGAAGTTACATGAGGTGTTTTCCATCTTCACAGGTTCAGTTTAACTTGCAGTTTACAAAACCAAATACATCACTAGGAGATGTTCAAACAGCAACAACTATTAATATGCCTTGCTCAAGTGATAAGGAAAAGTAAGTACTTGTCATAAAATTTAATGTTTGCACTTTGGAAAGTCATCCTAAGTAATTTTTATTAGTGTCTCTCTCTCTCTCTCTCTCTCTCTCTCTAAATAAGTAAATAAACATTAAAAAAAGATTTTTTATAATTTCTTAAAACTGTAAGATACAGTTAAACATAGAGTAAAATTTTCTTTTTATTGTAAAGAAATCCCTTTCTATAAAGATCTCCCTTTCATATGCTTTTGGGCAAGTAGATTAGAAATCTAATTCCTGTTAGTTGGTGGGTTTTGTTTTGTGTGCCTATGAGGCTTTGTCGGCCTCAGGAGGCCCTCCAGTTTTCTGATTAATGCTTCCAGTCTAGAGAACTCTGAGAAGCCAGCTCTTTTAAACGGCTAGAGTTCTTTGCTAAGAAGAACAAGGCTTGTGAGATTGTCCCATACCTAACAAAATACACTTTAATTGGTGACTTCTGGTTTGCCTACTCTAAAGTTTTTTTCTTGCTTTTTAGATCTTATACAGGTTTTACATAGTGAAGTTTGTTGAATCATGACTTGTGGCTAAATTAAACAAGTCAGGAAAACTTGTGTCTCTGGCTATTCTTCATGTTTGTAAATTTTTTTTAATGTATTTTTCTTAGTTAAAACAGTCACTTTAAGGCCTGTCTGCTGGCATTATCATGAGATGTCATCATCCCAGTATATTGCAGAATAAATTGCTAACATGGTTCAAGGAGGCTTCTTCTTATCCCACTTCTCTGGCTCTTATTCATTGGCTTCTCTGAAATTGGCACCAGTGTGAGGATTACAGTAGTTGGTGAGCTTCTTGTAAAGAAAAAAGAATTCCTGGAAGTCCTGACATGTTTCTGTGACCTCACACGTGCTCCGGAGCCAGAGCACCTGCGGTTCGTGTTAATGGCACAACGCCATGTCGATACATTTAAAATTCTTTTTTAATGTTTATTTTATTTTTGAGACAAGGACAGAGCTTGAGTGGGGGAGGGGCAGAGAGAGGGAGACACAGAATCTGAAGCAAGCTCTGGGCTCTGAGCTGTCAGCACAGAGCCCGACAAGGGGCTCGAACTCATGGACTGTGAGATCATGACCCGAGCCGAAGTTGGCTGCTGAGCCGACTGAGCCACCCACGTGCCCCAACTGTGTCGATACATTTAACTCTCATACACCCGGCAGCAGTTTTACTGGCAGAAAATAGGATGATCATATTTGTGGCACAAAATCAAACATAATCGTGTGTCTGTAGAACTAGGACTGTTCAGCTGTTGTGAGTGTTTTCTGTTTTAGTTGGTTTTTTCCTTTTTATCCATTGTCAGCTAGGAAAAAATGGCAATGGGTATCTCAAAGGTTAAAAGCTAAAATTGAAGAAAATACCTATTCATCCACTTATTTCTCTACTGAAAATTGGACAAAAGACCATTTAATTTTAAGAATGTAATGTCATTGTTTTACAAGTGCCTTTAAATTCTTGTTATCAGAAACTACTAGAGAAACTTAACACTGGACAGATTTAGAAAGTAGGAATATGGTAGTGGAAAGGGGGAATATAGGACTACATAAATGCCCCTGTTTTTTCAAAGTTTTAGATTTGTATTTATCTCACTAGAATCCATTATTGTGTATGAATTTTAATAGTGCATATTAGTGACGGCTTTGAAGTACTACAAAATTTTGAAGAGCTTTGGCAAAGGTAAAATGTTACTCATTTTAAATATGAGTTAGAAGTTATTAGATATTCTTGAGGCATAAACATGTTTTCATCATATTTATGTTTTATGGTTGCTCTTATGTTTTATGACTGCTCTTTTATAATTTCATAGTACTATCATTTAGCCTACATTCTTAAAATTTTTTTTAATATTTATTTTTGAGAGTGTGTGTGAGTGGGGGAGGGACAGAGAGAGAGGGAGACACAGAATCTGAACCAGGCTCCAGACTCCTAGCTGTCAGCACAGCCATACGTGGGCTCAAACCCACAAAACAGTGAGATCATGACCTGAGGTGAAATCAGATGCTCAGTCGACTGAGCCACCCAGGCGCTGCTAGTCTACATTCTTTATCTTAGCTCTTTGACTTATTAGTGCTACTTCGTTTATCGGGAAGAAGGGTACTCTGACTTGTGGATAAATTATTTGCTTAAGAAACCACTGAAGGGTGCTTGGGTGGCTCAGTTGGTTAAGTGTCAGACTTTGGCTCAGGTCATGATTTCATGGCTCGTGAGTTTGATCCCCGCGTCGGGCTCTGCTAATAGCTCAGACCCTGGAGCCTGCTTCGAATTCTTCGTCTCCTCTTTTTGCCCCTTCCCCACTCACATTCTGTTGCTCTGTCTCAAAAATAAACAATCATTAAAAATTTTAAAAAACTACTGAAGAATGTGATTTGTTTTGTACAAAGCTATAAATATAACTTCTGTTATTTCACATATAGTATATATATGTATACAAATAAGATAAACTTTCAAAATTATTAAGGTGAAAACAAGGCTTTGTAAAAATAAATACTATTTTCCTTTCAAGTGGTGCAAATTTAGGGCTGGAACCCAAATATCTGAAGAAAAGGGAAGATAGCATTCCTTTACGTGGACTCAGCCAAAATCTGTTCGGTAACCCAGGTGAGAAGACTTTCTTGACATGGGCTGTACACTATGGAGTAATCACCTGTGTTAGGTAAAGACTTCATGAATACAAATCATTTTTTTTGTCCTCATTTACAGACCATCAGAAAGATGGCACTTTCGGAGCAGTACAGACATCTTCAAAGCCCCCGGCGCTTCCTTCTGCACCATCGGCCTATTTCCCTGGGCAGTTAGCGAACAGTTGATGCTAGTGTGACCTTTTGCTCTTTATTGAAATTTTAGAGATTCACACAGTTTAAAAATATATGAACAGCATAGATCATATCCTAAGCCAACAAGTTTCCAAGTTTACTTGAGCTTAACGTATTAGATCGTTTGGATCTTTTTTAAGGACCGGTCGTTTATGCCAAGCTAGAGGAGCCCAGGTGTGCCTGGGAGATTGAGGAAATGACACTTTTTAGTTTGTGAACGCCGTGTTTTTATAGAATAATATGAATTTTATTAAACGAATCCTCAGAAATCTCAGAAATTCTAAGGAGGGAGTTGATCCTTATAAGGGACATTCTAGTCATAGAGTATATGGGTAAATGAAAACCTCAGGCATGATATGAAACCAAAGAATGTTAATGATTCATTTTATCATTTTCATTGGTAAAAGAAAAGTTTTGACATCTGAGAATTATAAGGGAAAATGATTATCTCCAAAGATACCTATATTATTGACATTTACAGTAAAGGGAAAAGTCCTAAGATTACCTTAAATGAATGAAAATAAATTAATCCTTCATAACAAGTAAACATTTTCCTTACGACATCTTTAAATTACCTATTAAGTCTACTAAGTAATTTTGATAAATCATAAAAATAATTTGGACAGCGTATTTACATAACCAGTTTAGGCAGAGTGCTTTTAATCATTTGAACTGCGGAGTTTGTAGGATTTTAATGTTTTCTGGAAGTCTTCACTCATCCAGTTTTTCTCTTTCGATTTGAACTTCATGAGTTTGGTCTGCAGTTAAATTTGTAGTAGTAGAATGTTTTAAAAATTAGTACTGTGCAGAACACTAAAAGACCATCAGGAATATTCATTGTTTTTTTACATCAGAGTGGGTTCGCTTTAACGTTTGCTTAATAAAGTAGGCAAATTGAATAACTGTTAGAAGTTATAGCTCTTTTCTCTTCCCTGTAACCAAAAGTTTCAAGTAAGAATATGGAAAAAATCAGGTAAAAAAAAAAAGAATTCACCGAAGTCTCGGAGGGTCCCCCTTCTGTTTTCTTACCAATGACCACCCAATACAGAGCAGCATTCTCTTACGAAGTCTATAAATCAGTTGTTTGCTTGCTAAGATTGCTAATGCTCGTGTGAGATTTTAAAAAACTATTTTAAAGGACCTCCCCACACAGATGAAGAAAGACATGTTGACACACACCAGTGTCACTGGGCTCCTGGTAAGACCATCTTTGCTAGTATTTTTCTGAAGCCACAATATTGAGTCCTGTGATACCTTGCAACTCTGCTGGTAGTTGCAAGCAGTCGTAACTAGAGGATTTATTCTAAAACATTTAGTCCATTATGGGGTTGACCTTTAATCTAGCTATCATTTAAATATGCTATGTTAACGTTAAAAAGAACACTTGGTTACAGTAACTTCAGGGCACATCCTAATCATCTGGAAAGTAACCTCTTGGTATTAGAATCTTTCCTGTAAATATTATGTAATATATATAACACATTGTGACAGAGTTTGGATGGGATTTGGGATTTACAAGTAAGTAGTCCTTTTTGATTTGAAATGGTTTTGCAGTGTACAGTTGTACATGTGTTAATAATCACAAGGTTGCAATGAATGTATGTCTGTAAACTGTGAGCTTTGTTAATAAAGTATTTATGGAGTGTGACATGTAAAAACAGAAACAGGACTGATCTGCAACTACAGACTATGTTTAGAATTTAAGTACTTGCATTTAATTTATGGACTAGGTTTTCATTTTCTTTTGTCCTCCTACAAGAGTATTTTGTAGTGCGGGAGAAAAAAAGGGATCGAAAGGGGGAAAGGTGTAAAGCTTTGATTTGTTACTGTAAAAATGATGATGGTAACAAATAAAGCCAAAACAGACCTTCTAGGGAATCACAGATCAAGACTTTGCTTTTAAAAAAAAATCATTAAAATATTTAATTTTATTAACAGAATATTTACATTTCTTTTAAGACCTTATTTAACCATAGTGAATGTTCCAAGTTTAAAAAGCATTGCGCAATAACCACACACAAGATGAAAACAGTGTAAACTATACAATACTTTATGTACAATTTTTACAAAGTAACACTTTTTTAAATAATATAACTGGACACAAAAATATACACTTTAGAGAAATTCACATCAGGAATTGTATAAAGCTCTCTTCTAGGGTCCTGAAAATTTAGGACAAACATTAGCTCTGTAAATAAAGTGTTACTGTGACAGTCCTGAAAGGCCACTATATATATTTATCTACATACAGATATCACATTGACATTTTCAAGGCTACCAGCTTTACTACATAATTTTAGATTATGTATTCAAGTGTTGAGGTTCTTATGATTATGCAAACATTAAAAGAATAGTGGTAGAAGTAGCTGGGGAACAAATTCGAGCCAGCGTTTAGATTTACAGACTCTACCCCAATTTAAATTCTAAATGGCTGATATTTTCTCATTTCAAAAACAGTGGTGAATGTTTTAAAATAAAATTACTACCGACAAGCTTAAAACATGATTCAGATTTAGTACAATTTTCTTAAGAGTTTGTTTTCGTTTGTTTTTTTAATGCAAACAGTTCATTTACCATTTCTTTACTTTAGTGCATCTGCGTTAAGGCTTTGAATTATTTGACCCAAGATTTTACAATGTTAAAACAGGTCCATAACCGTACTACCTACTCCTGTCTCGCTGTGAGTCAGCAGAGAGTTAAAGCTCAACACCTGTAGGAAATGGTAGCAGAGACGTTGCTAGTATCTAAGAAGGTACATATATAGTTTTTAATTAAAGGATGTATATAATAAAACAAAAAGCTTAGTGGCAAGAAATTGGTGCTAATAAACAAAAGGTTTCTTTTCAAAAGAAATTGTAACATCTTTGGAAAACTGTCCGGTTCTGGTTCTTTCTTTAGTTCCCACGAATTCATGCAGATACATTTCTTAAGACAATCTTAAAGTACATGGAGATGGAAAGGGGGTGTCCATCCAGAACTACAGGTGAAAACTAAGACCTGGGTGTGGTAGAAAAGTCTTCCTGATTTCAGTCATCACCTCATCACACGTTCGTGTCCTGGAGTAAAGGTTCTTTGGCCTCTCCTGGCGCTTGTGTACTATGGGGATGGCTGTGACCGCCACAGTGCTTTCTCCAGCTGCTGGACCGCAAGCTTAAATTGGTATGTTCTGGAATAAACAAGGCAACAAGCAGAGCCAGCAGTACGGAACAGGCTCCAAAGAGGAAGGGGGGGCCGGGGATGATCGAATTCTGAGGAAGGAAAAGAGAATTAGGATTTTTGCACCAACATCTCTGCTCTTAAGAACCGTTTCTCTTTTACTACTAACAGACTGCCAGGAATTAGAAGCCAAGACCTTCTCTCTCCATTAAAGCCACAGTTACAAAATGCATTTGCTTTTTAGAAGAAAAGGGACACTCTCGCTGTAAAATTCTGGTAACAAATGGTCCCAAGAAACAGCCAAAACGACGGTTTTACAACAGCCTACGCATAAATAATACTGTCATTTGCAGCACAAAATCTAAACGTTTTATGAGCCTTCACTTAATTTGTCAGTTCAACAGGAAGATCTCAAGAGTAAACTTAAGAAGCACACACTAGTATCTACAGTAACAGAATCCATGACCATTTTCTTTGTTTATATAAAAGGTAAATATATTCTCTAGTAACTAAAGGTGAAGGAAACACAGCTAATGCCGTTACCATTAAGAATCAAACCGGCCTTTGTTTTAGTTCAAAATTACATTCATTCTTAGCAAAACAGTGCACTGCCAGTATAACCTGTGGGTAGCTCACAAACAAACATTCATTTTCACTTGAAACTAGTCCTAGCTGGTTAGATCAGTCTGGAACTCTGCTGAACAAGCAAGGAACTGATGAGCTGTTTGTATTGGCCCAAATGATCAGGTTTGCCTTTCATAGTTTCAGTTTTAAGGAGCAAACAATGAACAAAAGAGGTTTATCAGCACCTGACTGACTTTTCATGTGGACGGCAGGCTTACTACAGGGAACTCCTGCGGTACCAAAGTCCCGGAGGAGAGGCAGATTAGTAGGCTAGACACATGGCTACCTATGACATTCGGTGGAACACGACAACCTAGAACATTTAAACAATTCCTTCTCAAGGGAAAAAGTATGTACAGTCAATTTTGAAAAGAGGTAGACAGAAGAGCATGGTCCTTTAGGCTTTGGTTTTTAAGTGTTATAGATGTAAAATAATCTGACATAAAAACTTTAGTGACCAAAAGCCATTTATCTTTCCAGTCCAGCTAAATGAACTATCCATTTAGTGAGTCATGTGAGTGAGGAATTACCTGTTCAAAGTGGTGCTGTGGGCTTGTGTTTGTTCCCAAGTCTGTTCCTGTCATTGGCAGTTCTTTAAGTTCCACGTGGAATATGTAGAAAATGAATCCATAAAGAGCTGGTCCCAGGCCATTGCACAGTCCTCGAATTCCTGTTATCATTCCTTGAACGACACCTAAATCATTTACACAAATTATGTAATGCTCCGCTTATTTTTTTCCTACCTTAGAACCAGTACAAACAGTAAATTCTAAAGCTTTCTTTACTCAAACACTAGCAATTTACTACGATGACTTTAAAAAGTACTTAGAGGGGCGCCTGGGTGGCTCAGTTGGTTAAGCGTCCGACTTCGGCTCAGGTCATGATCTCACGGTTTGTGGGTTCGAGCCCCGCGTCGGGTTCTGTGCTGACAACTAGCCCAGAGCCTGGAGCCTGCTTCAGATTCTGTGTCTCCCTCTCTCTCTCACCCTCCCCTACTCATGCTGCACCACCCCAGAACTAAAACATTAAAAAAAATTTTTTTTAAATAAAAGGTACTTAGAGGCCATCAGCTCTGCAAAGCATAAGCTATGTGATACAAATAAGAGATCAAGGTATACCCAATCCATACAGAGGTCCAGCTAAACAAGTGGGCAAAAGCACTTTATTTTCGCTTTAAAACATCCCGGGCTGAAAATGAGGCATGACTTCACAAGCATAATTAAAAACGGTCTCAAGCAGCTACTTAAGACCCCATTTGGCCAAAGACAGACCCTTTATATAGAGTTTGGATTGAGGCACCTGACAGGTGACTATCAGTTAAGCATCTGACTTTGGCTCAGGTCATGATCTCCCAGTTCATGAGTTCAGTCCCCACACTAGGCTCTCTGCTGTCAGCACAGGGCCTGCTTCAGACCCTCTGTCCCTCTGCTGCTTCCCTGCTTGTTCTCTCTCAAACTTAAAAAAAAAAAATTTCTTAGGGTTTGGGTTTTGCTTTTCTCTGAGAACTTCTCTCAAATTTAAAATGCAATATGCTTCGGCCACAGGCCTTTCCTTTCTCATTAAGCAACCATCAT